TGCTCCATCAGGAACTAGTTCGGGGTGGGAAAATCCAGTTGGGGCCGTGCTCCTGCAAGTAGCCAAGGCCATCAACCACGTGCTGCGCTATGGAGGGTCGTCCGTCTGGGCAACATGGACAACGGGGGGGAGGGGGAGAGAGAGGGTGGGGTGGAAGGGAGCCCTAGATGGCATTTACATCCCCAATCTTGCTCCTAACCAGCTTTCCTTGGACTACATAAACAGGAAGGGGTACTTCTCCATGGTGCTGCAGGCCCTCATGGATCACAAGAGATGCTTCACCAACATCAACGTTGGGTGGTCGGGGAAAGCACATGACACCTGAATCTTCCAGAACTCCTGCCTGTTCCAAAAGATGCATACCAGCACTCTTTTCTCTGACTGAATCATCAGAGTTGGGGAGGTGGACATGCCCATAATGATCCTGGGCAATGCAGCCTCTACCCCTTATTCCCCTGGCTCATGAAGCCCTACATGGGCAGCCTGGACCCAACCAAGGAGCACTTCAACTCCAGGGTGAGCAGGTGCCACATGCTGGTGGAGTAGCCCTACATGGGCAGCCTGGACCCAACCAAGGAGCACTTCAACTCCAACTCCAGCAGGTGCCACATGCTGGTGGAGTGTGAATTCGGCCATTTAAAGGGGAGATTCAGGAGTCTTTTCACGCACTCACTGAGGTCCAGGCGGAACATACACTTTGTGATGGCAGCCTGCTGTGTGCTCCACAATCTGTGTGAGAGCAAGCGGGAGAATTTTCTGCCAGGGTGAAGGGCAGAGACTGGCCAAAAAAAGGCCACCATTGGATCCTAGACCAGGTCTGGATGAAGGTCAAGGCCTTCATCTAGACCTGGTCCAGGGTCCAGTGGTGGCCTTGGTTGGCCAGGCTGGCAGCAATCCAGCCATAGATGTCCACATTTTGCTTTCTAGTGTAGAGGCCCTGGAGGTTAGTCACCTCCCCCCAGACCCTGATGAGGTCCAGGCTGGAGTTCTCTTGCATCCCTGGCCAATGGCAGCCGTGGGAGGCTCTGAGGGAGGTTTGGGGTCAGTCATGGCTTCCTAGGATGTTGTTGCGTGGCACGGGGCTTGGAAAGCTGGCCACGTGGCACAAGCCCTTCAGCTGCTGCCTGGAGTTTTAAGCTCTGCAGGAGAAGGGGAGCAGTGGAGATGCCATGTGTGTCCAGAGAGGTCAGATCTGCAGCTGTGAGAGGCCTCTGGAGGTCAGTTATTGAAGTAGCTGCACCAGAGTGTCCACACTAATGCTATTTTGAAATAACAATTTCAAAATTAGTGCTATTCCCCAAGGAAAGCAAGAATTCAGATTTTTGAAATAACTAGCCCATTATTTCAAAATAACAGGTTTGGTAGTATAGATGCTCAACTTATTATTTTGACCTAAGCTGAGTTATTTCGAAATAACTCGCTAGTGTAGACAAGGGCTCAGAAGGCAAGGGGGAAATTTTAGAGCTCTAGGTCTGAGTCTTTTAAGTCATTATTTAAACCTGTTACCTTGGAATCAAGTTTATCATCTCTAAAATAGGCCTTATTTCTGCTG